ATATAGCAGTAAAAAAGTAATTGTAATTTGAATCTAGTTATAAAGAGCAATTAAAATGTTCAAATTTTGAATATACACGTTATTGCACGAAACTGTAATCAACTATTGTTAATATAAACGGACGCCGGCTTAAAAAGAGCCGGATGGAACTTTTTAAGCTCCATCAATAGTTTGTTAATTTTGTGTAACAACATGTATATTCAAAATTTGAATATTTAAACTGTTTTTTACAACTAACTAGATTCGTATTGTTCTTTTGCTACCATATATTTAAATATGTATTCGCTCCCCCTCACTCTCTCTCTCTCCCTCTCTCTTTTCTATACAAAAGGTTTAAAATTCAAAAAGCTATACTATAACAATAATTTGAAAATAAGTTGTAGGATAAATAAACTAAAAGTTATTTAAAAATTCTTGAATTGTATTTTTACATTCTGTAGACATCATTTAGAAATTAATTTTCTTTTTGCCATCACAAAACGTTGAAAATAGCCACAAACGCTATTTTTGATCCCTTTCACATTTTACTCAAAATCCTGGCGTAATAGACAAATTCTACCAGGGCATTCAACGTAAAAAATTCTCGAAAAATGTACTATGGCACTTAGAAGAGATAAAAAAATAATTTGTTCCTGGACAACAATGTAATTATTAAATAGCTTCAGTAATAGTAAATTACATAATTACAATACATTACATTATTACATTATTACATTATTAAAGTATTGACTATCTTTTATTATATAATTTTATTAATAACAATAATGATAAATATTGATATTGATTACTTCATGATTCATACAAGTCATTTCTTGCGAACATATTTAGTAAGATAAAAAAAGATAAATATAAGTGAAATTCTATGTAATTTTGCTATAATGAAACATTTATCGCAATAATGAGAAAAAAAAACAAAAAAAATAGCATTTGATAAATTAATAATTAATAAAGTATAAGTTTCAGAGAATACACTATTTTATCACTTATAACGGTAAATATAACTTGAACAAATTATTATAAAACATTTTAAATATATAATTAAAATATAAAAATATACTACAAATGAGTATATCTAGGAAATGAGACGCGTTGTTAAAAACGTAACAGCATATTTGGAAATGTGATCTACAAGCGACAAAAGTAAAGTGAGTAGTATGTAACACTGGGCATCTCTCTTCATACTGCGATTACTCTTTTCTCTAAATTATGAATGCATGCATTCGTCCCAAATATTTTAATAATAACTTTTTTAATCGCAAAATTCGCAAATTGAATTAGAATTATTTTTTTTTAATTAGTCATTTTAATTATACTTTATTACAAGAAGTGATTCTAATTACTTTGTACAATTTATCACTAAAAAATATTTATTTTTGGGTTATCATAATCCCTAACTTGTAAAATAAATTACTATTGTCTTCCTATATATAGTAGCTATATATAGTAGCTATAATTAGCGATTATTCATTTGCGTTATAATTGTCAGTTTTATTCTGACACCAAGAACGATAATAAAGTATATGAAGTACATTATATAACTGACTCGGCAAGAGAAATATCTACATTTGCCAACTGTGCATTGCACAAAAATATATAATCCGGCAGTAAAAATAAAATAATAAATTCAACAAATCAATTTAATTACACTGAAATATTCAGTTGATTTACCGTCTACCGTCATATGTTATCAGATATATGTTTATACCTTGTATTACTTATTATAATGATTTATTATAAGCATGTTTGTTAGAACGGTCATTACTTTGTAACGAACTGAACTTGTCGAAGCAGAAAGATCTCGTCGATTCAGAGATTACACTATTTTAAATCACTTATAACGGTAAATATAACTTGAACAAATTATTATAAAATTTAAATATTTAATAGTCCACAGAGTTTCAATGTATAAATTTAATCACTAGAAATAATACTTACATGTATTTTAATATATAAATATTAATATAATATATTTAATAAATTCTTTAAATATATAGAGTTAAGTATACTTAAAATGCAAGATCAGTTTATAATAATAATAATTCTATTGAAATTATTAACGTTAAAAGTGTTTTTTTATTAGGCTCTTTATCTCAATATCATTACTTTTTAACGAATTTATTGAAGCAGAAAGATCGTGAATTTAGAGAA